ATCGATGGCAGTTTTTAAATGCACCATGTGGTAAATTCGATTCAAAAGTAACGACTTCAAAAAGGTAAGTAAAGAGTCTAAATGTAGGATAATCGTCCAAAGAAATTCTAAGCCACTTTAATATTCTCTAAAAGGGATATTATATAAAGGGCAATTTTATGAATGGCTGAACTGAGTTAAATAAGATTACATAAATTTAATTACTTTAATGGAGTAATTTTATATGTGGCATTAGAAGAAAGTTTAAGTTACATGTTAAATAATTAGGTAATACAGTCTTTACGAAGTTAGACATATGTTTGTAGTATCATTATCCACTTGAGGGCTAAACTTTAATTTATTTAACTTGTGTAATTACGATTGATGTACGATCGTTTGTATAGTAAATGTCCCGGCGGTAAAGTCCAATCCGACATATCTCTCCTAAGTTGTTCTCACTTCCTATCTTTCTCTCCACACCTCCTTTTCACAATAACCACTCACACGCATAGGAGATATTCTCTGAATGATTGATTACAAAAAAAAGGTAAAAAAATTATATTCGCGGTCGCTACCGAATGTTGTATGCCTATCATCATTATTCTAAAAAAGACAAAAAAAAGTAAACGAATCAAGGTCTCTTGCTCTGTAAAATGGAGCGGGTGCAGTCGATTTTTTTTTGTTTTCGAATTAAAAGTTTTTATCGCACAGGCGTGATACGCTTTGAAAAGTTTAAGTCACATCCAAGTTCTTTTATAAGTTTCTAGGTGATATCTTCATTTTCGCTAACGGGGAAATGTTTACCACGGATACTACATAGTTGGGCAAACGGGCAAATGAAGTGACGGACGTGTTTAGAAGCATTTTGAATTTGAGACTAGCCAATAATTTATACAGCTTACTGGGTTTTTGAAGCTTGCGTCTATGCATTATAAAGATATGGAGAGGAACACTAAATTCTGATACAGAATAGTATTGGGCAGACGTGGTCAATATTTTCGATTTTTGTAGTAATGAGCAAAACAGAGGTGTTTTCAGTTTACATGGCGCTATAGGTACTTCCTCTTACAAGTTAGTCCTATTTTCAATATTAATCTGCGTTCAAGCACCTACAATATTTCTGCCAAATTTGAATTCGATAGCTTCATTTTTGCGGCCAGGAGAATGTTTGGGGTAGGCATCGCGCATAGGGACAGACAGAGTTTGATATACTTTCTGGGGTCTCTGAGGACTCCTTCTGGGCGTTACAAACGTTTTGATAAAATGAACACAACCCTCATTCCTCGGTAATGGGTATAGAAGACTTGCTTAATCTGTTATCAACTATTATACCAAGATATAAAAATGAGCGCGGAGGAATGGACGCGCGGAGGCATATTTACCTGCATTCGAAATTTGAAACTGGCCAAAAATTTGTATACTTTGTGGGCTTTTTATATCTTGTCTCTGCCCCTTATGAAGATATTGAAAAAAAAATTAAATTTTGTTAGGCTATAATATTGGATCGGCGTGGTAAATTTTAGCCATTTTTGTGCAGGTACTATAGCATTGCCCACAGAATACACCGGTTCATTTCACTATTAAGGTACAACGAAGGAATTAAAAGAATCGGATAAGAGAAAATTTGAAGAAAGAGTCAATATTTATTATTTCATAATTAATACATCTTAATAAAACGAACCGTATTTCCTTCCTAAGTATGTAGTGTACGTGTAAATATCTGTACGAGACCGCTTATAGTAAAGTTGTTAAAGTGTTAAAAAACAATCTTTATGACTTTAGGGAACGTTGTGTGTATTTTTCAACAAAAGAACACAGCAGCCCAATATGAGCGATAAGTGAAAGAGAAGAGATTACAACAACAAGTGCGAAAATTTTGTTGTAAAGTATCTTTTCAATTGTAGCCATGTGAAGTCTGCTTTTTTAATAAATGATATGATAAGTAAAAACTGCATAGACTCAACGAATTGAATATACGTGCCTCATATTTTCACATTAATACTAATTCCCATTATGTCTGGAGCGGTCAAGTAAAAAGCTTTTAGATAGAATTGCGAAGCAATCAATTATTGATTCATTTCTTTAAGTTTCAAAAGAATCAATTGATCGGGGTAGTCACAACTTAAAAGGGTGAAAGTATCGTTTCAGCGGGTGAAATAACTTCTTGGCTTACTTCTACCTACTTTAATGAGATCATTTACAAGAAGATTAAAGGAAATAGTAACGCATGAGAGAGAGTCTGCCAAAGTCTTACGAAAGATCCAGCATGACAAAAATAGGGATTTTATGCTATAGATATCCTTGGGCCGGTTTACGGTAATTCACGGAGTAAATTCGATCGTAATTTTTGCTTTTGCGTTTATAGTCGTCGACCACAAAGTGGATTACGCCAATCGATAAATTAAACATTTTTGCTATTAGTGAAAACACTTATTGTCAAAACGTTCCTTCTGGCTCCACAAAACGAAAGGGTGTTACTAAAAAGAAATGAGCATAAAAATTTTTGGGAAAGATTAGGCGAAAACAAGCTAGAAATTTTAGATAAGCAGATAAATTTCATCATGTTATTGAACTTTGTTCGTTGCGTTGGTATCAACGCTTTGCATGTAGATTTTATCTAGGTTGTTTAAAGGTTTCATCACTTTAGCAGGGCAATAATGGCTTGTTGTTTTATTGCATACAAGTTTCACCTCCATTTAATACCAGATTTAAGGAAACACGTCAGTTTGGGGTTACATCGGCGGGAATTGTCTAAATCGCAAAAATAAACGTAGGAAGCTGAAATTCGTTACAAACATTCCTTGTTCGATCAGAAATTCGAAGTTAAAAAATTGGGGTCATCTGTTCGCAGACACGCCTACAATGGAGAGGGATATAAAACAATCTCGCAAAGCACCGCCAGATTGTTCGTATTGCCGTCCATAAATTTCGGTCTCATGAAGACATTTTCGAAAGCCTGAGACCCAGATGTGCGTTAGGATCATCTTCGTGTTTCATCGGAAGTGGCGCCAACCCAATGATTCACTACTATGCTCACAATTAACGAATAAAATTCGAGCTAATGTGCATTGCAATAAATGGGAGATAAGTTGGAACTAAGAAATTTTCGTGGGAAAAATAGTCCGATTTTTCCGGAGATTGTTTTAATTTCTTTCACATTGTGAACATGTGCAAGAACAGATCGCGGTCGCTCTGTAATCGATCATTTGTGTTCAAATTTCAGTTTCCTGTCTTCATTCTTGTGACCGTCAGGATTCACCGGACGGGTTTTTGTAGAAACAGGTACCGAAAAACAGCAAAAGTGGGCGTGAGAAAATGGTAGACATATATATATATGCTGCGTTAGATTATTAAAAACCATATAACATCTAAAGAAATCGACTTCCTTATACTGAATTTTTAAAATCAAAACCCTATAGTAAATTGGAAAACTCAGCTACACCTACTTAATGTTACAATTAATTAAAGTTTTATTTTTTGTCAAAGTCTTGTTCGAAAAACCTAACAAAGTGTATAACTTCCTGGCCACCTAGGTATGTCCGTCGGTTCGTCTGTCCAACTATGTAGGAACCGTGGCAAACAATGTCCCGTTAGCGAAAGTAAAGACGTCGGCTAGGAAATCTTGAAAAATTTTGAAAATAATTCAAACTAATTAAAAGAAACGCGTCTATGCGACAATAACTGCTTTACTTTCTAAGTTTTTTGGTCGTTGCTCACATGTTGCTACAACAGATCGCGGCAAAGTATAACATTCTTAGTTGTTTTATTTCTGTTTGTAGCAAATCTCTACTGCTACTACACCCAAGTAATTACTCTATATGGTACGTCAATAGTATAGGGATAATGTTAAATGCTCGTTTGTTCGGCATGTTAAGTGTAATTGTGTGTATGTGTGTAATTGTGCTTGTTGAGTTCTTGAAAGTCAAACTGTGCTGCAAACATTGGCTGAAAACCAAAAGGAATGCTATGGTAATAGAAGGTGATTGAACGCAAAAACGAAAGAAAGAAAGGAAAGAAGAGGAAAAAAAAAATTCTAAAAGGATAAATTAGCTTTTCTTATAAAGCAAGTTAGTTCCCCGAGATGACGTACATTTTTTGCTGCAAAGAGATCGAGGAGACAGCCATAGGAATCTCTAATGTCATCAAGCCTGTAACATCTGAAGATTAGATGCACAGCAGACTCAACAACATTGCAAACTTCACAAACATCACATGGTATATGACATGGTATAAACTTTGTCATAAGTGTGACCACTGATGAGTCTATAAAGAATTTCGATTTCCCAGGAATTAAAAGAAGATACAGAAAAGGGTTTGAATTGCAAAACAATTTTCGTCTTTCAGAAAAACTTCACTTAAGATACAGAACTCAACCTTGTTTGAGTTTAAGAAAATCGAAAAACGATAGGAACTAAAATCTTCTCTGAAAAATCCATTATCATCAATCTCTTCTGCCATCTCTTATTTTTTTTTTGTTTGATTTATCTAATTGATTGATAACTCGGTAGAGTGATTATGTGTTGATCTTCTGCGCTACATAAATGATAATGACTGTAAAGTGTACGTTTGGAAAGAATTGATTGATGATGCCGTTCTTTTTGATTATGATACTTAGATGTAGTAGTGGTCAGTTACTGGAATTACTTTTTAGTTTTTTTGTTTTGGCTTGCAAATTTTGGCTGATTTAGAATGTTAAATAGACAAAGGAGAAATTAGCAACAAGCATACCACAAATAATCAGAAATATTTAAAATAGACTAAAGTTAATTTAAAACGAGAACCCAGCAGTTCTGATAAAAGAAGTCAGCTGATTGAGATAAAAATTATTGCCAGCGCGAAAGATTTCATAAAGGTTGTTATATGTGATGAATATATTGAAAGGTTACCCAATGATATCAAATCTGAATTTTCTCTTATAGACACACAAACTTATGTTGTCCGCAATGTAGCGTGGAAAATTTGAAATTAATTAAACTTGAATTAAATTTTCAATGATTCGTCGCTGGATCTCAAACGTGGTTTTACGCCGAGTTCGACGATGAGTGATCATCTTTATCGAAATCTATTAGGTAAAATAATACGAATACAGATAACGGATTATGTAATGGAAAGGTCAGTTTACAATAACCTTTCTTTCAATGTGTTTCTGAGCTCTCACTCAACTTCTTTAGATTCTTTTCACGGTCTTCCAATTTGATCTCAACCTATGAAAAGTTTTGCTTCCTAAGTTTTGACTTCATTTCAATCCCTAATTTTTTTAACAATGGGCAACAGTAAGATAGAGAGGCAGGCAAGGCGAAGTCAATATGGGATGTTACCCATTAATAATCTCATGTAGTTTATTGAATGGCTGATGGAAGTTTTCGAAAAGGCATATCTAATAAATCTCTATTCTTTAGAATAAGGTGCAAATCAAACTTTTAGACTACAGAAAAATATTTTAAACTGTACTTACCCTGCAATTGGTAAACAATTGTCCCACAGAAAACTCTTTGCTACAGTACTGCAGAGTTGCAGTAGAAGGAGCATAGCACATATTGTAAACTTTTTTTTCATCTCGAAAGTGGGAGTAGAGACCACGCCTACCGTTATTAAATACATATGGTATGTAAATTTATTCACTTAAAACTTCTAAATAAAACACGTATTGCCATGATCATAGTGGTGGATATATAAGACGCTTCGTCGCTCAATTGAAACTTACTTGTTTTTTATAGATTTTTTTTTTGATGCGCCCAATTTTCAAAAATAATTTATTTGCATACTTAAATACTGGTTAATAATTTCATCAAATATACTATGATTTACATTCTTATTTAACGAGGTTCACCGACGGACAAACGTATATATTCCAATAAACTTTATAAATGACTCAACCAATTCAAAGACTGCTGTGTATTTATATTATGCAAGATTCCATTTGCCACTAATTTTCATTAGTCGGTTCTGCATAAACTTCTCCAACATCATGGTCTATATCCTTACATTTAAGGAATCACTTTGCTATATTTAACTCCTTCAGCAAAGCCCGCCTAATCTCTTTTCTTTCAAATCGATTTTCCTCAATTCTTTTTTAAAAAATCATTTTCAAAAGTCTGATTTATAATACCCTATTCCACTTGTGGTACAAAAAACTTAAGTGCCTAATGTTTATCTTCTCAATTTTCGGACGGACCTGGTAGGTGGATTTGACTTTTCTTCAACTTTAGACTGTAGTTCGTATTTCCTGCCGATCAAAATTATTTATTCTCTCCATTCAAAAATGCGTTTGCCGACGCATCTAGCATTTTTTAGAAAATGCATGATTTTCCAACCAAAAGAAAAAATGAAAAGGATTATTGAGATTACTTCAATGAATGTTCACCCTATGTCCACGCTTCTCTTCGTCCTGTTCGGAAGCAGAAAGAGTATTTATAAATAAGATAATATGCACTATATTAACTTAAAGTTCATTAACAGCGGGCCGTGGCTCACTATAAAGTTTTTATTCGATTTTATTTGCATTTTGTTAGTCATCCGAAATGGAATGTCGATCACGAGCCGTTCAAAGCAGTTATTTTTCCTTTTTCATTACTAAGAAAAAAGTATATTAAGTTCACAGGAAGCAAACTTTTTAAAGACCTTTCTTTATATGTTATAAGATGTACAAAAGTTAATTTACTTGAATAAAAAAGTAGCTAAACTAAACATTCGACATACGACATATCAAATAAAAATTGATTAACAACATGTTCTGTACTTACCCGGTAAAAACCACAATTTGCAGTCATCACCAAATACTTCTTGAAAATTGGCTAATTTACCTAAATTATATCCATTTTTGTCTTGACCGCCAATGCGAAAAATAGGTGCATGAAAGGCACGAAAGGAAAAGTGGAAAAAAGATAATTTAGTGTTTTTTTTTTTTTTTGCAATAATTATGCACAAAATAGTGAAAAGAAAAATATTGTGATTAATAAAATTTTATATACAAAGATGACCACAACTTACCATCTGGCCTATGGAAATATCGCATTCTACTGAAGCGATGCGTGGAGGCATATGCTTGTTCCTTAATCTAAAATAAAATGAAAAGAAATGAATAAATTGTAATAATAACAAGTAAAGATAAATGCAAACCTACCTTTGGCATGTAGCGAATCTTCATCAATATGAGGCGGCGACCAGAGAGCTGGAATTGATTTTTATTATAATCTAAAATAAAACAATAACCAGAAATTTGTAAGTATGCCTGTGTAACATTATAAATTACCTTACGACGAGGAAGAAATGAGGCGGTAATGGGCGGGATTTAATTGGGGGCTTATACTTGTCTTTGTATCTAAGATTAAATAAAAATAAGGATGTAAGTTAGAAATTTATTAATACGTTTTCATTATTTTTGAATTTTTTTTTATTTTCGGCTTTTGAAGCCCGGTTTTCTTTATTATGTCCTTTTAATAAATAAAAATAAATACACTCTTATAACAAATAAATAAGTAATATGAAATAAACTAGGTAATTAGCTGAAATGATCACCAGCTACAAAGATTTTTCTTTTTTTCTTTTGGTTTTATTTCATTCATAGTTTATCACATGATTATGTGGGATCAATTTAAATGGAAAATTACTGAAAGAATTACGCAGTAAAAAAATTCACTAGGAGAATGCTTGCCGCAGAAGATATAGAGAGAGACAGACTGACCAATAGCATGTTGATGAGGAATTGTACGTTGAAGTTCTTTCAATGGATTTATAGGTAACCACGAAATAAGTCAAACAAGTCCAAATTCAGACTCGCTCTTTCTATTACTCTCAGATGCTTTTAAATTCAGAGTTGCAATTCTAATTAAACAAGTGGTCGCCAAATTCAAACGCGCTTTTTCTATTCTTTCTCAATTGTAAACTAATTCAAACTCGCTTTAAAATGTATCTACATCTTTTGGGATATTCTTAGAGTGTTATGAACAAAGGAAAAGGAATTAAAACATGAAAAGTCTTTAGGACAATTTTTATGAAAAGATATTCACGTCAGTCTTTTGCAAAACTTCCAGAAATTATCAAAGCAACGAAAACTTAGCAAGAAACGCAAGAACGTTCATATTAATTTTTAATCTTTGATGAATGGAAACTGAATTATGTTGAAAGGCTTGTTTATATATATATATATATTTGTCAGGTTTATCCTAAGATACCAAATAACAAAAATTACACCACCATCATATTTAAAGTAATAATTAAGGTTTCAAGAATATTATTGCTATAAATTTAACACTCTTCACATTTTATTTAACAACTATCGTTTATATATACCCATATATATAATAAGTTAATTAAGAATTGTCTTATTATTATTATAATTTTAGATTAATGAAATAAATTCTTTGACTAAAAAAAAAAGACATTGGGCACTAGCAGCACAGGCCATTGGCTCTAATATAAGTAAATGTACATTAGATAATGAGCTTAGTAGTGTTAATAAAGTAATATATAGAATTTATATTCGGTTCTGATTTTAGAATGTCCAAAGGGTTAGTCGCTCCAAATGCAATACTTCTATCCAAGGAAAAGTTGAAGCAGTCGCAGAGAATGTGCTTTATAGGTAGAGTTTGTCCACAACTGCAGTTTGGGGAGGAAAACTTCTTCAAGATCCATTGGTGAGTTGCGATAGTATGACCAAGGCGAGTTCTCGAAAATGTTTGGATCTTGGTTTTCTCAAGGTTTGTTCGATATAAAGGTGGAATTAATGATGATGGTATTGTAAATTTCCTTCAGCAATTTTCTCTTTAACTTTTTTTCCAATGTATCTTTGAAGATCCAACTTTTCTATGACATCATCCATAATTAGAGGAGCAGAAGCAGCATACTTTGCCGCTCGATCAGCCTGCTCATTTCCCAGTAAACCGGTGTGACTTGGTACCCATAACATTTTAATTTTTCCGTCGGGTGCAGTAATTATATTCCTTAATTTGTTGATGGTGCTACATCTCGAAGTCGAACGGTTCCGAGTAGCTTGTAATACAGTCAAACTGTCGGTAACAATGACGGTTTTGAGTTTGCTTTTATGGGAAAGGTTCGCAGCGTGAAGGATAGCTCTGGCTTCGGTTGTGAAAGTTGAAATACTTTCGTGAAATATGTGACTGAGAAGAACCTGTCCTGTAGCATCTATCACGGCACAAACAGGAGGCAGGCCAAAAGATTTTGAGCCGTCTGTGTATAAAAGATTCCAACTAGTACTCTCCAATACTTGGGTTTTTTCATCTATTAGATTCCTGAAGACGTAATTTGGAGTATCTTCTTTTTGGTGCATAGACAGCGAGATGTCAAAAGAGCAGTCTTTCAAAATCCGTGGAGGTTTAACACCAAAAGAGCGGTAAATTTTTAAGGGAATGTTCAATTCCTTTGCAACTTAGAAACAATGGTCAATTGCAGATGGTGACTTTGGAATTTTCTTCGCCATAATAATCTTTCTTACGTCATCACCGAGAATGGATTTGTTTGAATTAAGAAGCTTGGGGACTATTTTAGCTTTTAACTCATACAGTCTATTTTCTAAGGTTGGGAGACCAGTTTCAATTATAATATTATTTATGGGCGTCGTCCGAAAAGCATAACAACTTGCTCTAACGGCTTGGTGATAGACCGGTTTAAGAATGTTGATATTAGATTTGCAGCTATTGCCATAAATTATCAAAGCACAGTCAATCTTGCTTAACACAAGCATTTTGGTAAGATAAGCAATAGTCTTAATATGCGCATGGCTTCTCCAAGCAACGTACTGTATGAAATTCACGTTATTAGAATTTTTTAACCGAAGACAGTGTGCTTTCCAACGATAATTGTTTGAAAACGTGAGCCCGATCTATGCATCAGTAGATTTCCTGCATCGCAAATCTGCTTTCGACAAATGTGCATTTTTTTTTGATTTTTGTATAGAAATTTTAGCTCCTGACGAGTTTGCCCACGTGGAGATCTCACATGCAGTAGATTCGAGGATGTTGATTGCTTTCGTGTTGTCTTTTTCTTTTGTAAAAATGTATAAATCGTCCGCATAGAGACAATGTTCCACTCTTGGTACACGGCAAAGAATTTTGCTAATTTCGTTGAAAGCGATCTGGAAAAGCGTGACAGAGAGAGGAGATCCTTGCGGAATGCCATTCTTTAGCGGAAAGGAATCAGAAAGATGATTATTGATTCTAACTTTGAACCGCCGATGCGACATGAATGATTTGATGTAGTTGAAGAATTTGCGTCCAACATTCCATGATTTCAAAAGTCTTAAGATAACATGAAGACCAACTCTGTCAAATGCATTTTCGAAATCAATTGAGAGAATTGTTACGGGATTTCGTTCGGAAATTGCTTTGCTTGTGAAATAATCAATATGTAACAGAGCGTCGATGCACCCTCTACCCTGCTTGAAACCAACTTGTTGCTTTGTTATCAGGTTCTTGGACTCAAGAAACGAAGATAATCTAGATGCCATAATCTTCTCTAATACCTTAGAGAGGCAAGATAAAAAAGAAATTGGGCGATAATCTGATGCGATGGAGACATTTTTTGACTTTGGAATTGAAACAAATGTTGCCAGTGTCCACATGTAGGGTATATGGCCAGTCATAAATACTGTATTATATAGGTCCAGTAATTTCTTTTTATTTGAATTAGGCATCCCATTGATCATTTGGTAGGAGACGCGGTCCAGACCAGGTGTCTTCCCCTTCGATTTGGAGAGACAATTTTCAAGTTCTAAGGTAGAATGCAATTTTCCAGGAAGATGGCACATCTGTCAATACAATTTGAAAGAGGAATTGGATTCCTTTTAATTTCGATGAAAACACTGGAACAGTTGCGGTCAGAGGATTACTCGCACCACATTTGTCCAAAGTAATTAGAAATATCACGTGGGCCAGTTCAAGTTCCATTGGGAGTGCAGATGGCAGAAATTTCGTTCAGGTTTGAAGTCCCATTGAGTCTGTTGATTTTGTTCCAGACAACTTTTATTGATGAATTTCTGTGAATTCCTCTCGCAAAAAGTTCGAAACTAAGTGCCTTTGATTTTCGCAATTTCTTCCTGAATAGAGCATTGGCCTTTTTGTATAGTAACAAATGATCATGATCAGCACATCTCTTCAAGCGGTGCCATAGATCCATTTTATTTTTCCTCAAAAACGAAAGCGTGTTGTTCCACCAAGGAACCCTAGTTCGTTTAAAAGAGGTGTTGGATTGCGGAATAGAAAGATGAGCAGCCGTGCGGATCGCTTTATTCATAATATCAGCATCATGGTTGCAGTTTGTTAAATGGCTTTGAATTCAGAAATGACTCGGCCTTGGAGTAATTAATCCAATCCGCTTTATCTAGGAGGAATTTGGCCTGTTTCGCTGGAGTAGCAGAGGACATTGAAAGTTTAAGATCGATTATGATTGGAAAATGATCACTATTATGTAGATTATCAGAAATAGACCAGGAAACCAAAGGAAGAAGTGAGGGACAGCAACATGTTAAATCAATATGTGAAAAAGTATGATGAGTTGAAGAGTGCGTTGGTTTTCCATCATTTAAAATGCAAAGGTTCCTTTAAAAAAAGGCCTTTTCTAAAACAGTAATGCGAGTGTTGTTCACTGTGTCATGAAACTCTTTTTCTTTTTCCTCGCCGCCGAGGATTTAAAAATTTTTCTTTAGACAAAGAAAAAAAAAAAAAAAAAAATATATATAAAAAAATGAAATAATAAAAAAAACGAACTAAATGAACG